ATTTTCAGGTTTGGTGACCCACAGCCCTCGCCCCCCAAGCGGCCGCAGGAGGCCTCTGATGAAGCCGCAGGCAGCAGGGGCGGGTGAGTGCACTCGCTCCGAGACAGTGCGGCGAGCGGCAGCGGCGGCATGCGGGCGGCGGCGGCATCCGGGACATGCCGCCACATGTGTGGCTGCTCCCTTCCTTGGGCGTGCACTTCCTGAGCTCCTCGATCCCTGTGCCTGCTGCAGGGCTTCTTGCAGCAGACGAGATGCTGCACGGTGGTGTGGCAGCGGCCGCAGCAGGCGGGCCAGCCATGTTGCAAGGTGGCCAGCTGGCACCGTCGTCGCCTGAGGCGCCAGCAGCGGCGCCAGCGGCACCAGCACAAGTGGTACCCGGGCAGCCAGGCAACGCAGAGGACCGCGCCCCCCACGTGCCGCCTATGGAGCGGCCCACAGTAGCAGGCCAGCAGCATTATGGCATTGTTTCTTGGCCTGTTGCAGGAGCGCTGCTGTGGCGGCACCGTGATCCGCCAGGGCGACACCATCATCCGCGGGCATTGGATGGTCAGCAGCGACATCTACAGCTTCACGCAGAGCAAGTTGGGCGTGATCCTGGCGGAGCAGGCGCTGGCGGTTGCCGAGCTGGCAGGAGCAGCCCCGCAGGCGTTCAGGCGCCTGGCAGCTGCCGCCAATGTGGAGCGTGAAGCCTGCGCATTACTTTGCCCTCGAGAAAGTGGTGGCGGCGCGCAGCAGCCAGCAGCCCTGAGCCTGCTCCACGCGCCGCTGCGCCACAGTGGCGGCCCCCCGCCCGTTTGGACAGACATGCATGCCGTGGTTTCTTTGCACACTGCTTGTATATGTGATACAGAACACGGTGCTGCCAACGTTGACATCTAAATCCGAGGGATTTGGGCACTGGCTGGCCGCAGGAGCATGGCGGCGGCGGCCTGTGGCGACAGCGCACGCAGCAGGCGGGAGCCCGATTTGCGGGCCGTGCACGTTTCTTGCACTCCTCCTGCATCCCTGGACGTCCATTCTACTGCTTTACAGTGGCAGCAGGGCCCTGGCAGGTGAGGCCGCAGGATGAGATGGATCCACCCCCATGCTGCGTGCTCCTCTGCCAGAACCTCTATGCATCATGCAATGAAAGAATCCGCAACGGCTGCGGCGGGAAACGCGCTGCAGGGCCGCCACCACGAAACCTCCCACCCCGCTAGGTGAGGCGGCGACCCGCCGCGGACTTGTAAGTCACTGACTGTTGAAGCTCACGCGCTGCTCCACGCGGCTTCGTGCTGAACGCTGATCACCGCGTGGATGACCCGCACAGAGCCAGTTGTGGCCGGCTGGAGGGCGCAGTGTTGCAGCGCTGCCGCTTCTGAGTAACCGCTACCGCTGCCTAAGCTGCAGGTGCACCGCCTGACGCTTCCATTGCTGCCACGCTGAGCTGCAAGCCCATGGGCAGCACGTCACGAGCTGTCCTAGTATCCAATTTACCAGTGAGATTGCCAGACAACGCCGACTGGGACTCCCTTTTGGCAGCAGTGCAGCAAAGAGTTGACAATACATTTATTGACCCTGTATTTACACTTGACGAACACACCAAAGCCAGCATTGTTGCTGCGGGAGAAAAGGCAAGGTCCAAGGGCGTGAAGGAGGTTGTGATCACCTTTGCCAAATTCCGAGACGGGGGTCAAGTCAAGTTCGTGTCTGCCAAGTGTGGTAAACCAGATGATCACGAGAAAAAGGTGCGTTTGGATTGTGTTGTGTTGTTTAGATGATGCATCTCCATATGGTGGCCGCGCTGCGGCTGCTCATTGCAGCAGGCCTAGGTGGTATTGGCCTGCTGCAACGTCCTGCGCGCTGCCAAGGGGGATGTGTTTGTGGGGCGTCCCAAGCAATCCGCTTATGTACCTCCAATTCTGACGTGGTGTTCACCACTATGCTCGTAGATGAAACAGCAAAAACAATTGTCAAGGGATATCGCAAACTACCATAATGACCCATCGGCACGTCTCAGGCTACGACTTTCAATATTGTACACCAACCTGAAACGGGCAGCGTGGCTCATGATTATCGGCATGGTGCTGAGCATGCTGGCCAGTCTGGGTTCATTTGCGCTCGGCATTTATGCATTGGTGCTCAATTACACATCTTTGGATACACCTAAATCTCAAAACATTCAAGCATGGTTGGGAATGACTCTTGCATTGCTTGGAATCGCAAAAACGATGGCAGACTTTGCAGAATTTGCCTCAAACCCCAAGGTGTTCAACATACCACAACCAGCCCAGTCATGAAGTGCTTAATTTCAATGTGTACATGTGTATGTTAAATTTTGTATGTTGTAAACAATCTGGCTGCTCCTAGCTTCGGGTGGGAAGACCTTCCTTGTGCTGCGAGGCGTGACTGTCGTGACTCTGGTTCAGGGCACACAAACTCTGAAGATTGAAACTCACCTCGCCGCCAGGTCACACCAGATTCCTTCCCTGGCTTTCCCAGACACCAGCTTCCTATGCGACAATTTACCATCATTATGCACAGGGCAAGTGCACACAGGGCAGGCGTCCGTGCCTGCCAGACCCCCTCCCCGCCCTGCCCCCAATGCGTGCGCTGCTTCGGTTACAAGCTGCTGGCACTCATGGGATCCAGGCCCAGGTGTGGCGATCAGTCGTCGCGCCGCTGCTTCTTGGCCGCCCGCTGCTCCGCCTTGCCCAGCTCCACATACCGCTTCTTGCGCTCCTCCCTGTGGTGTGTGGCGGCGGCGGTGCGTGAGGGTGGGTGGGTGGGTGAAGAGGAGAGAGCGCCAGCGGGCCTCCAGGCAGACCAACACATCGCATGAGCGCCGCGCTCGGCAACACGGGCAAGCCCAGCCCCCGCCCCTCACTTGTTGTACTGCGCGCGCCACGCCTCCACCGCCTCTGCCTTCTTGGCCTGGCTCGCCTTCTGCCGCGCCCGCTGCTCCCGCCGCGCCGCCGCCTTCTGGTTGCGGATCGCGTTCAGCTGGCTGATCAGGGACACCTGCGCGGCTCGGGCGGGGTGGGGTGGGGTGGGGAGGGGGCAAGGAGGGGCAAGGGGAGGCCTGTATGTGAGCTCGGGCAATGCGGCCCCACGGCCCCGCGCCACCCCATCATGCACACCTCCACCACCACACACCACACGCCACCACGTGCGTGCGCCGCCCCACCTTCTTGCGCTCCTCCGGCTCCAGCACCACCGCCCGCTTCTGCTCCAACGTCTTGCGCTTGCGCTTGCCCTCCACCTTGGGCTTGGTCTTGAAGGGCAGCGCAGCCTGCGGGACAGGCGTGTGTGTGTGGGTGGGTGGGGGGGGCAGGTGGGGAGGGGGGAGGGCGTGCAGGAACAGAGTGGCAGCTGCCAGGCGCTCCCGAGGCGGCCTGGCAGGCTAGAGGGCAGGCAGGCAAGGCAGCAGGGCGCAGGCTGAGGGCGGCTGCGCCCCACCTGCAGCGACTTGGGTATATTGAGCGGGTTGAACTTGCGGGGGGCGCGCTCGATGGGGCGGTACAGCGAGTCTGCGGCACAGGCGGGGGAGGGGCTGGAGGGGCGCGCGCAACACGGGCGCAATGGGCCAAAGCGCAACACCCACGCAGGCAGCGGCCCCTAGGCCGGGTGCTGCTTGGCCCCCCCACCACCACCACCCCGGCTCCATGTCTGCGGCAGCCCGCCCAGGCGCCTGCCCCCACCTGAGTTGCGCGGCGCGCCGATGCCCAGCGCGCGCCGCAGGTCCGCCACATTCTTCATTGGCACCCAGCCGCCGCCGCCGCCGTCGCCGCCGGGGCCTGCGCTGCCGTTGGCTGCCGCCGCCGCCGCCGCTTCGGCGTCGGCGCTGCCGCCTGCTGGCGCCGCCGCCGCCGCGCCTGCCGCGGCGGCGCCGCTCAGGCCGTGGTCTGGATAGTAGCCCAGGCCCAGAGGGCCCAGCTTGAAGGCGAAGCCAGCCCGCCGCCCCTGCCACCTGCCAGCAGGCACAAACCGGCCCTCAGCCGCCGCGGCGGCGGCCGCGGCCTGGCCCGCTGCGCTGCCCGGCCCGACGCCTGCCTCCGCCGCCGCTGCGTCGTCACCGCCGCCCGCCTGCTCGCCGCCCGCCGCCGCCGCCTCCGCCACCTCCGCCGCGCGCTGCTTCCTGCGGTGCTTGGGCTCGCGCGGCGCGGGCGCGGGCGCCGGCGCCAGCCTGTTGGTGACAGGGTTGTAGAGGCGTGGCAGGTCTACGGCCACCCAGGCCCTGTGGCGGTAAGCGGGAGGGGTGGGGCGGGGGAGAGGGGAGGTGAGGCCAGGTGAGGCGAGGAGGCATGGCATGGTGGGGAGCGGGGCCAGGCCGCGTGTGGCCAGGGCTGGCAGGCAGCAGGCGGGGCCCTGCGGTAGGTAGGCGCTGCAAAGGCGTGGGGTGGGGCCCAGCGTGCGCCCGCACTGTATGCCACGCCCACCTGAGGAAGACTGTGTCCGACAGGAGCGGCTTGTCCTCAAAGCTGGCGCGGAAGGCGCCGTCGCGCGCGCCCTGCGCCCGGCGGCAGGCGCCAGGCAGGCAGGCCGCGTGCTCGGGGCGGCGGGCCGGGCAGGCGCCGGCGTGGCGCTGCGCCCGCCTGGGCAAGCAGGGCCCCTCCCCGCCTCGACCCTGCACTCCCAGCTGCACCACACTTGTCCACCCGCCCGCCAGCCACCGCCAAAACACACACGTGCACACACACACACACACACATTCACACCGCTGCCTCGCCCACCTCGCGCCCCGCCTTGATCGCCTTCTTCACCGTGCCGCGAATGCCCGACACCGTGCGCACCGAGGCCCCCTCAAACTTGCTGGCCTCCAGCAGGCTGTTGAACATGCCGTTGATGAAGGCGGTGTGGCGGTGGATCTGCGGCCAGGGGGCGGGCAGCCAGGCACGGCGGAGGGCAGCGCTGGGCGTGTGTGTGTGTGTGTGTGTGGCGCCGCGTGGTGAGGGGCCAGGGCAGGCGGCCGGTGGGCGGCACCCCGGGCGACGCACACACGTGCACAGGTGGCGACACACACATGCGCAGCCCCCGCCGCCCGCCACGCTTCGCCTCCCCGGGATAAGCCCCTGCCCTGGGCGCTCACCTTGAAGGGCGTGCCCACCAGCTTCAGCTTCTTCATCACCCTCAGCGACGCATCCAGCTGCAGCACCAC